CTTTCTAGTTACATTCCTGATGCAGAAGCGTTGACTCGCACTGGAGTCGATTTCATGACCTCTTGCATGTTAGTCAAAATCACAACCCTTCGCTTTCTTGCTATAACTTCTTTCAGAAAATCGCTCCGCAGATGATGAAAGTAGATTTAAACTCAGCGTCTTCAGGCACATGTACAATATACTCTCATTTCAAATAACCAGGCTCCATTTCTTGGAACTTAATCTGCTGAAGTTATGTGCGGACAAGCAGGAAACTTGAAAAGGGCGAATGAGCTTGTAAGCCAAGCAGTTCAAGATACTTTAACTGAAAAAAGTGGATGTATGAAAGGTTATTGCTTTTACGTTTATTAGAACACCCTCTTTATGAAATCAGGTCTTCATAATCGCCTCCACCTCTTAGTTGATTGACGAGTGATGAATGATGTCTTTCTTAGGGGAATTATGGAATGCACCTCTGTCATTCATCGCACGAGGCGGATTTCACAGGATATCAAGCAGGTTGACTACCGGTGATCTTGCTTTTCTATTTAATACTAATAATGCTGAATTTTCGTTTCGGGTACTATTCTGAGCACCACTATACTGTACCTTCCAGTCTGCGTAGAATATGATCGTAGATTTTTAGAGGCAAGCTACATACTGCAATAAATAATCCTGAGTTTCGTATCAAAACTTCAGTGAAATATCAAAATGACCGGGCATCGTCATAAAGGAGACAATTTGGCGCCAGTCTATTTTCTGGTAGGCGAGATCCCTGAAGCTCAAGCAGTACTGAACCACATATCGGATTATCACATTTCACAATATTCTTATGTATATAGAAATTTTTAGTTATGTAGTTACAATTTAGGCTCACTTACAAAGTTTAGTTACAATTTCGAAAGCAAATTCCGATCATTTCCTTAATATCTGGTTGAAAATCAATGAGGTAATGCAACAGCATGGTATGGTATGGTAAATGGTACACAATATTATAGAAATGATACCATATGACAGAGGTATAACTCATAGAAATCTTCGTTTTATCACCGTACTCAAAAAAAATGTTGCAATCAATGTGACGAGCACATCAAATTTTGTTCATGTAATCATGTCAAATATAAATATATAATCATTTCAAATATAAAACGTATATGAAATGTAAATAGAGTATTGCTCTCTACCTGTTTCATGTCATCTTCTCGTGTCTGTTGTCCTACAGAAGATTTCCGTGAACAATCAATAAATATTCTGTTCAATCTAGTCCATGAAGAACGATTTCTCTATAAATTCATTCGAAGACGCTTGCTTCTCCAAAAATGGTTTATTTAGGTGAGGCCATACACTTATTCAATACACTGTGGTCATTCGATTTTATTCTTAACCTTGCAAAAATCAGCAGTGTTGTACAAGCCCTTTTAGTGCAGGGAAGGCATGCAAGCTGGTTTCCACATGGTGTGAAATTAAACGTAATATGCCTGCGATATTCTTGATTCCAAAAGGTTTGATGTTTCTGGCCTTGCCAAGTTCCTCTTTTGATGCGCCACGCACTTGGATTCCATCTCAGTGATGGCACCTGAACGCTTTATGGCCTGTACAATGATAAGGACTAAGAAGCCAATAGATATACAACCCAATGTGTCTATCCCCCTACTAGTATGTTGTCAACAGCCGACGTGGCAGGGTGCAATAACGCCTGGCTCGATGAGCTTGGACCCAAAATTTGCTCCAAGCCCTCCCCCACCCCCGGTCAAGCGCCAAATATACGGCACCATTTGCCGCTACACCTCCGCACTAAATAGGTGTCACGATTAAATAAAGCAAATCAATCTGAATTCCGATTCCACAA